TAGCGTTATAAAATCCTGTGATATCAGCAGCATCAAGTTCCTAATCTCTTCATCGTGAACCAACATGGAACTAAACTATATACACATCATCTCCAATATGTCGACAACCAACGTACATATATGTACATTAATATAATACGCCACTTATATATTCATCAGTTTGTCCAAAAGAGTAAATTATCAAATATTTTGTCAAATAATTTTGATTTAAAAATGTCCACGTTATTCAGAAGCATATAATGTGTTATATTATGTGAGTAGTTACTATGTGTAACATTATTAAAAATATTAAAATTACATGTATATTATATTACATAATGTCAAAACACACTAAGGAGATAAAAATCGTGTGTTTGCTTTGAACTGGGGTAAAATGCCTGTCGATTACATATGTCATCATATTATAATTTCGATCTGAGCTATTCAGAGTGAGATTTCAACTTTATAATAAACCATTCTAGCTTTAAGTTGGATTTAAGAAACAGATTAACATAAACCAATTTATCAATGGACGAACATAAATTCGTTTATAATTGAATGGGACTTGATTGATCAGTGTTAAATAATGATACCGTGGTGATTTTACATCTGTTCCCAAACTTCTTATTGTTTCATCTGCCCCGCGGCTACGACGAACATACACGGTTGTAAGTATTCCACCGGTAATAAACACACTAACATAATCTACCTGTCACACCTTTCGCTTAATTACTCTTTATCCGTTCGAATTTTGCATTTAATCTTGTTAATTTCATTTTATGGGTATATTGTTTGAAGTTTGCAAATTGTTTTTAATTGTGTACTCACAACGATAAATGAAAGAACTCACCATGGTATAGCGATTATTGCGATCGTTTTCAATCCATGTGTGCATTTGCTTTGAAATACAAAATGATGGACCATCGTTATTGAATCGATGAGTGGTTTATATTGGTGTTCGTGAAGAAGTTTGTTGAAAGAAGTTTGTTTTTAAAAACATGAAAACCTCATTTTGAATACAGCAGGGCAATAAACAAACGTGTTTACTCAAGTCTGGAAAATAGTGTTAAACAAATATGACGCATTTTCAAAATGGTTTTAACAAACTAAAGAAAATGCAGATTACAATGAGATGAAAGACTGTCTCTGGTAGGCATTATGATTGAACATAGATATGGACATTCCAAAAACGAGTCCTTTCCTTTACTGGGTTTTTATGTAGGATTTAAGTTGTTCTAAAAATGTAATGCTCAGATCGCATGTCAAACACACTAACAATCTACTTTATTTGTGAAACTAAATTATGTATGACACAATAATAAAAGCAGGGCAAGTTTATTGGGAGCAACTCACGGCTGATTGCCAAGACAAGGCGTGGGACATAAGGTTTACACACCCTGGTTCCTATGATGATGATTTGATGGTCTCAATGCCGGAGGTTGTTCAAACACGACAGAAAGAAAACACACACACGAATTTGTTAAACATCTATTCTGAGATTGCATTTCTAGAAATGCCTTGTGCAAAAAATAAGCCATGTTCAAAAAATGCTTTGATGGTAATTCACGTACAATATACCCATGATATAACTGGAATAGTACAATGTACTGTGCTTTCAGCAAAGATTTCTTACGATTATGGTATTGTCGCGTTTACATTTCCCCGTAGCATCTTTAAGTTGCTGTACGGTATTTCATATGCCACAATCTGTTTTCAATGGAAATTCATCTTTATCTGAATTCTACACTTAAGGAAGATACTACTTACATTCAAATATGCAATTTAATATACATGTATACCATGGTATATATGAAATTGCATATTTGAATGTAATTTGAAATTTGAATTCGACACTTTGAATATATATGTGATATAGCCAGTGCATTTGTACCCAATAACATCACATGAAGAAACGTGTTTCGAACAGAAAAAGAAATATATTGTTTCAAGCTTGAATTGAAAAGATAAAGGTTCATATAACATATTTTCATGTAAGTATTCATTTAGTGTAACTTTCACATAAAAGGAAATGCATGTCTTGAGGAAATACAACCGATATGTGTATTTATAAATGAAAGTTAATATACGTTTGAGTAACGCACTTTCATTTATTAGCTGATCTAACTGTTATTGTTTAATCAGAATATCAAACTATATGTTAGAGCCAGTTTACTATGCTTACTTTAAATATCATCTCAAAATAAATCACTTCCTTTCATAAATAGAAAAAATGCCTGTATAATGTTTTTGAACAATCAATATTCAACCATATTATTTGATTGTTTTTCTTCTTAGAAATCAATACGGACATGAAGCTGAAGTTAATTCATGTAAATAAGAATGATAATAACAAATTGATAGAGAGACAAATGACATGCATATGTTTTTGTTTAAAAATATACCTCTATATGGCACGTAAACACTAGTAAAGTCATGTACATATGTATGAGTGAGGAAAGAAAAAAAGAGGTAATATGGAATATCGTAGAGAGGATTTCCTTTCAGTGTTGATATGTACATGCTTTCTTAAGTATCATTAATGTAACGTTATGCAAACCAACATATGAAAACCAGTGGTACACACGACCCCTTCTGCAAACAGGTTTATATTTGTGTATATTAGTGCATGAATTATAAAATAATGCTATCACAGTTCGTCGTGTTCATACACTGTTTCCATTTTGATAAATGCCAGTCAATATTACTATTACACATTACCATTAATTGATCTGGTATGGCAGATGAAAGAAGGACTTCATCTTCTCTTGTGTGGTGCAACCTGGATCTATTAGTTATAGGAGAACATGTATTTTGTCTCAGCCATGGCAAATATCAGCAAAGTCAGTATTTGTAATATGTTTACATTGAATTGAGAAGTTGGGAAGCTTGTGTTATAATGTTTGCGTGAACATCTGGAAAACGTTAGCGTCAGGTACTGATAAGGGTTTTATGAAATTACTTGAGACAGATGCGATGTACGCGAACTTTATGTAATGTAAAATTGACCATGTTATTCGAATGGTAGATTAGTGTGTGAGAAAGCATCTGAATGTATGTGAATTATGATAACGTTTGCTTCTAGGGGAAGGCTGATATGTTCGGCCTGTGATGTATCTATAGATGTGAATTATGACAATTGGTTACATCAGAGTTCAGAAGGGTAGATGTACGATGACTATGATAGCAGTATGCACTTGAATTATGACAAATTGTTTCTACGTAAGGGTAGATTTACGTAGATTGCGATATGAGTGCAGATGTAAATTATGACAACTGGATTCTTCAGAATGCAGGAGTACGCTGACTGTCATAGGAGTATGTGCATGAATTATGACAAATTGCTTTTACTGAAGGGGATAGATTTACGTCGAATCCGATATGAGTGTGGATGTGAATTATGACAAATTGCTTCTCCAGAAAGGTAAATGTGTGCGAACTTTGATTTGTTTATGAATAATGACTAATTATTTCATCGGAAAAGTAGATTGGCGCTGACGATGCAGTGTAAATCATTACAAGATCATTCTACAGAAGCTTACTAAACTTACTAAACATATTAAACTGGTCTATATGTGTGAAAATTAAGAAATGTGTAATAATGGAAATTATGACAAACTGCTGTAACAGAAACGAAGACATTCATAGACTTCTAATTATACTCAACGATAAGGAAATTACGTCACGGTTTTAACAATTACATTGAAGAATTACACATTTACCAGAAACTGACACATGACCACGGGTTTAAATGTTATGTTATACGTTTTACGAGCAGGTCGTGTCATATTTAAACACTGGGTCATGCACTATTTGAATCCCGCAATACGTTTTATTCATACGTAAAAGGATATATAATTTACCTCATATGCCAAACCTGGGAAAATATTTAAATGAAATACATGTATATTTTGCCGTGCTTGTCGACCTGGTTAAGCATATGTCATGCAAGTGTATGTCAGATGATATAAGACAGTGTTTCTCTCCAATTTGCATATAATGCCTGTCACATATTAATATTACAACCACAGGTGTAAGGTCGCCGAAATGCTGTAGACATGGAAGTTACGACCATGCATATGTCATTTTACCTGTTTAAGAAACCAGCTAGAATGTGGATAAACTGAATTTTTTGCCGTTGCCGAGTAACCGTTTTCAAATACGTAACACGTGAACACAAAGTAAAATGCATATTTCTATTTTCAGTCTTATATATAAACTTTATATTGCTTTTTATAATATAACATTACCAATGATGATAATAATATAGATATTAGGTTGTCATTTAGGGCACTATTAGCTTGGATGTGCTAGTTACAGAAGCATTTACAACGCAAATCTGTTTCGTGTAGATTTATATATATCTATTTCATTTGTAGTTTTTATTAATGTTATAAATAAAGAGAAACACACCCAAACATACTGTAGTATAGGTAAGGAGTAAAAACTGGTATTATCATGTCCACGTAGACATTGTATCCGACAGTTTTCAGTTGGGAATAAACATAAATTGCTACGACAAATGATGAAACACGTGTTTCATGTTAGAGATGACACAGCACCATCTATAGTTGGGACGTCTCGATGTATATACATGGATGACAAGTTTGATATTTACGAGACAGGAGGTGTTTGAAATGTCAGTTCATCTAATAAAGACATTTTTGAAAATAATGACGCGTATTAACACAGATATGTCTTCAGTAAAGAAGGTAAATGAATTTGCAATGAGTTGAATACAATCAGCATCTTGTATGCGACATTACGTTATAACTCGCATCAGCAGGGACTATGGGCACGTAGTACAAGTAATCGTTAAGTGAAAAAGAACTAAATATTTAAATTAAACACCAGAATAGGTATTACGACGCAGCAATGAAACAGTGGCAGCTATCGGTTATGACATCAGTTCTGGTAGTGGTTTTAAGCATCACCAATACATAATAATGTAATTTGATCCAGGGTAGGGTATGCGACATGCATATACACGTGGAAGAAACATTCATGAATTGTATTGATCTTACCTCTTTGGCAGAAGCTCTGATACGGTGACATCCCGGGTGTTTTATTGAAATCTAACGTTGCAGAGACTTCGGGGTTTCTCCAGGAATTGTCAATAACATTGAGTCTCTGTTGTCCATTACAGGAACACGATATGGCACAACAACTCCGTTGTGCTTCCTCTCGACCGCCCTCAATGTCAGTACGAGCGTTATTTGGTTTGTACAATAAACTTTCATACCCGGGTTTAACCAAATTGTTGGAGTCTCTTGGAGTTGAAGCTTCAGAATTCGTGGAACAAATGGTCTGTAACTTCCAATCGTTACCATTATGCTGTTTGGTGGTATCAGTCTGGAACGGGTAGACAGATGGTGGGGTGAAATACCCGGAAGGCCAGCTTGCTGGGTACATTGCTGGGTAGTTGCGGTCACAGTTGTTGCTCTCAGAGTAGGCTGTAGGTAGATGCCAACCCCTTATCGCATACGGGTTCATTTCGTGTGTGCGTAGCGAGGGAACACAGTAGGCATTAACTGGTTGGTCCTTTGACTGTCAACTTGAAGCAGTTGAAATCTCGTCCAATAATGTCCCGCCCTACGACCGGTCACTCCTAAGGGGAGGGGTGGAGAATCACTGCCCTGTTTGTCGACCCTGCATTAAAATAATACGAGCTCCACCGCCAGGCTTTGTTTGATTGACAGCTGAGGCAATGACGCGTGATATTTCGCTCCCCCGACAAAGGTCACGCTAGCGAAGTCACACACGCAGTCCCTCGATCCGTTTCGTCTTCAAAATTAGGCGTCGGCACTGTCTCTGAAAATCTTACACACGTATGCAAACCTTTTAACCATCTCTCGAAAGCAGCTTCAATAAAACAAACAGTAAAATGTCTATTCGGGGAGAACGGACGAGGCCCGCTGAGAGAAGTTTGCGAGCAGAACAAGTCCCTTAAGATGGACCTGACTGTGCACAATTAAATCTTATGGCTCCAACTCCGATACTTAACTCGCATATAACTGAGAGCCACGAGCAACACGCACTAACATCCCCAAAGCTTAGTGCCTCGTAGCTGGGATCATTTTGGGCGAGAAATGTGGAAATCTTCTGAATTATACGAACCAAGCTGTTCTGTGATTGGTTGGCGGATGCACCTTCATTCATCAACGTGTGGGCAGGTGGGGCATTTTCCTCCGCTCATTACCATAAGTTTTTACTGGATATTGTAGAAGCTCCTTGTGTATAAATTCATACACAATATTGGAAATGTAGATATGTTGAAGTATTCCTTATCTCAAAATATCATAGGGAGATACGACTCCACACGGCGTTGTCATTCATACCCACATAAACCTGGTACGCGTCATGGACTTAACCAAAGCAAACGTTGTACGTATTCATGTAGATTATCATGCATTTACATCCTTGTACAAATCTTTATAATTATTTCAATATTTATTCTTATCATATATTTTGGTTATACAACTTATTCCATGTGCAGTCCTTTCATATACAAACTTACTGTTTCGGTTTACCATTTGTACACATTTCCGTTCATTACCGTAGATCAAAGTCTAAACAAGGTGCACTTCGAGCAACACTTATTGAACGTTTTATAATCTCTCTTTAAATTTCTACATGATTTACATATAGGTTTTGTGTTTATTTAGTCCCAGATTATGTCATATTAATATATTCACGTTTACAGGTTGGGCTGTAATATACCGGCGCATAGCTGTATCACATAGCATATTCATATAATTAGATGCATAAATTTAAACATCGCGGTGTGTTGTACAAACAAGTCATCGAACTAGACATAGTAATTTTAATAAATTTGAAATTTATGATTTCTGGGGCATTCGGTTGTCGATATATTAATTCGCCAATTATCGTTCATTTATCGCTTTCATCATTGCGCTCCTCATGTTAGTTTGAATTACAACACAAACCCAACACTATGGTCCTCTTTACCCGCTGGCATCATGCGAGTATGTTAACCTTACTATAGGTAATACTGTTAGATGATGAGAATGATAAAGTTTTCTTATAACAGTCTTGATATAGATACACTGTGAACAAAACCATTCCAAACATAGGATCTCTCATTATGGCTTCCATATCCTCATGTATTTCCTAAAAGGTATTACACATCTTTTTCATATTTGGTTTACATAATATATTATTGCATATAGTAATAGATCTATAGACGATATATTCACTACTGGATTTATGTTTCTATTGGTTAAGATGTCGTTCTTTCAAAACAGATGGAAAATGTTATGCGTTCATACTACTATTTTCTTCCTTCCTTCCACCCGTTCTGTGGTATGAACGATCATTTTGTACCTACGTACCTTTTTACACCTGGTGGAACTGATGATCTCTTATGATTTATTTCATGTCCATTTAAAAACCCATCTTTAGTTATCATTTACAGAATTCCCGTGTTATTTTCAGAATATTAATCACAAAAATCCCTTAAAAGTTTCAACACATGACATGGTATAAGCTGTACTTATTGTCTCCTCTTGTTTCCTTACACATATACAGTTGCATGTAAATTAATCTTTAAATCCTTGAATACTGATATACTGCCTTTAGTTATTAGCGTATGAATTATTGGCATTTCAACTTTGATTCCGATGGTAAAAAGGAAGGAACAACAGTTCCATTTAAACTTACTGTTGCACGATTCATATGTAGAACCGATATTGTTTAAGTAATGAAATGATACTAAATGAAAATATATGAACAAACTTGATTTTGTCAATTTAGCAGCATTGTCATGATAAAGATTACACAAAATAAGAATGCCTAACAAAAAATGTAACTTGCATGGGAACCCTCATCTCATTCTCTCTCTCTTTCTCACTCTCTTTCTCTCTCTCTCTCCATATATATATATATATATATATATATTGATTAGAATATTGTGTGTTATCATCGTTCTCTAACAAGCTTCACTGAGTGACATCTTCAATGCAGTTTATTGTTGTGTAAAATTTAAAGGGTTATATTATCATTCCAGCAATTTGATATTAATTAATTACTGCAACAGGTTGCTTGTCATTCTATAGTAGGCAGCTTGTACCACGAACACATAAACTTGAGCCATGGATAGGCACCGCAGCTTCCATTAAAGCCGAACTTAAGGTTAAGTAATGAAAATACTCTAAAACTTTTACATATATTTTTACAAGTTTACCAATTACATTAACAAGTTGTGAAATAATAGTTAATAATACGTTATCATGAACGAAGATGTCATTATCTGTATTTACTCCAAAATGGTATTAAGTATTTAAAACTGTCTATAAACACGACATGAAAACGAATATCTTTACAAAGTTTACTTAAAACACATGGTATTAAACGGGCCTGTGTTAAGCCTTAGTTAGGTAGATGTGATAGAATCATTATATACCGTTAGTTGTAGTGACTTAAAAGCATCGATTCAAATACTCATATAAATCAACTTATAAATGTTTGCTCTGCACTGAAAAAGGTATAGTTCTTTCATTGTATGTTTGCACAATGCATCTTATATTAATGCACTGCATTAAGGAGTTATTAAACTGAAACCCACAGCTATTAATATACAATATTATGACATAGACGAATGCAAAGGTTTAACAGACCGAGATGTGTGGTTGCAAACGTTATCTTCTTAACGTTAAAATGAAATTGATCGTTTTAACTGACCTTATAAAACATGGTTTCATGGTATGCTGATCGGACAATCTACTGTTGATATGTGAATAACGATGTGCATAAGTATATATATATATATTTTCCACAAATGGCTGCGTTCTTGAAGTACTGGGTTGGACAAAACATCTTGAAGCAGCGTACATGCATTTAATATACGCATATTATTACACAAAGAAACAAAGTATACAAGAAAGACTTAACACAAATACTTGAACCAAGTGAAAAAGGCAGATAGTTTTTTTTACGAAAAAAGTAATCAACGATTTCTCAAAGCATACCTGATATATCATATGTGCATAGTATGTATAAAGTAGCTATTTTGTTTGAATTGTACCATAATTATATATTATGGTTAAATGCGTTCTGATGCGGACGGTAGTGATTACCTGGACAATGATGCGTTTATATTTGCACAAAGAAACATTTATCACACAAGACACTTTAAGGAAAATACTTCATACACTAACACGGTGCTCAGCAGAGAGTCTGACATTTATTCAGTAGGATGGAGGTTTTATAGCATATCTAACATCGAAAACATTGCTTCTGTTGTTCGTTCATGTGTGGTCGACGAAGCCAGTTTATAAAAAAAGAAGTTTCAACCCTGTATGGCATGGATATTTTGTGAAGGTGTGTTTGTATAATTAAACAAATGATGGTTAACCATTGCTTGATGCAGATGATACTAACTTCCTTTAGCAAAGAAAACAAAATCTTGGGATTGTTTTCATTCTTTATTCTGTTTCGTCTCTTTAAAACAAAATGTCCTTGAAAGCAGAAATATATTTTAGTCAAGAATAATTGATTATAACAAAATATGAAGGATCCGAATTCGAATTCGAAGCACGGTTGTTAAGGGGAATTTTGGACATTTGTGTATTTTGTACGTACGGAAAACATGCATAAACATCCGCTAATCGAACACAGTTAGAAACATTTTGCACCCTGCCTCATCGTAACAAGACATGTCGACTTCTAATGAAGACACTAATATAATATTTCTGTGAGGCAAATAGGGTAATTACAAACTCATCAAATGCGTGATGTAGAATGGACTAATTATGTATTCATCGTCTACATTGTTGTAGAATGGAGTTAAGACAGATTCATAGCATAAATGTTGTAGAATGTCCTTAAACAACACCCATCGGTGGTCGTGGTATTACAAAACATTTTGTGTGTGACTTAATGCAATATTCATGAACGGTTCATTCATGTTCATTTCATATTCAAACAAAATGCGAGCATCTTAGGTATCATGCAGAAAAGTCAAGAAGGTGCAATAAGTGACGTCTGTCTCCTTCATAAGAAAGATCGTCTTGAAAGCTCAATTTATCTTCTTTGATCTGCACGTGTCTTGTTTCGTAGGTAATTGAAATACCATATTTTCATAAAACTACTTGAAACGAGAGGATATTGCTGTCGGCATTTTATATGGAAGGGACATGTTCAATTTTTAACAATGAAGATTTATTTGGACTATTTCATGCACGCTTGCTGTAGGAACGATCTACAATAGGAACATGACTCCAAGTTTAAACTGAAATACTGTTAATTATTTTATTGTATACTACTGCATTATACAGGTGTTGTAAACTTAAGAGCTTCAATAACATATTAGCTGGACAGGGAGTATATACACTGTCGTAAAACACAATCTGCGTTCCCTTGAAAGTAACACATCTCCCCGGGCTTTTTAATACATTGGGAGAAAGAGACATGTTTCATTATAACGAAATGAATCATTACACAGCAAATGAAAATATGTGTTAACTCATAACGAGCTTACAAAATCATGTACACACAAATCGTTAAGATATTAAAAGCAACATGAGGGAATTGAAATTGCTAATATATTATGAAATGCAGGTATCACCTGAACCAAA